CTCTGGCAGGCATCCCCGATCGTCCCCGTTGTCTTGCTAATTTCAGACGTGCCGACCACAGAAGACGTCGTACAAGTTCCCCAGTTACCGAAGCAAAAATTAAACAAAATATATAAAGACAGCACAGCACAGCGCGCTCCGTGGGGCAGGTGCTGTGTAATTATTATATCGTCATATCGCTTCGCTGATAAAGCTTGGGAATGCAAGCATCAAATATTCAAGGGTCGGGCACCGAAATCAAATTTCATTTCAGCGCCGCAGTCTACCGCAGTCTCGGGTGTTGTGTATCACTGCAGCTTGCCAGTGGAAACCTAACAAGAACAAACACATTCTGGTCCAAGCGCGATCTCACATCAATACACCAATTCGATCATTTATCTGCCGTTGCGCTTCATAGTCTATGCATTTTCCAAATGCATCAAGTATAGAACGCGGCGCCACACGCCGCAGTCCACCACTATGAATAAAAAAATATATGCAAGTAATAGTACGTCATAATACACATGAGTGGTATACGTATGGAGTATATATATATATGGTGTGTATATGTCTGGATAGTGAGTATAATATCATATGTGCATGCATGCATAGCGGTGTCGAGGTGATAATAAGTGTGCGGTACGGAGATAGATAGCGCAGAGGAGCCAAAAACAAAATTGCAGAGAGATAAAGAAAAACCAAGACTGGTGACGCCAAACGGAAGAAATCGAAGCACGAAAGAGTGAATGAATCACTCAACGCGACGAATCACCGCCCGCGACCCTTCATCCCCTCCCCGACGGCTCGAAATCAAACTCGAGCCGCCCCAGCACCTCATCCGAGCCAGATCCCCGCCCTCCCGCGCTCACCGGCGAATGCGTCATCATCGTCGGCGAGGGCGTCATCGCCGTCGTTGGCGAACGCGTCGTCGCAGGCGAATGCAAAGGCAGCGGCGGCGGAGGCGGCCCCCGCCCCAGCCCAACAAGACTGCGCATAAACTCTTCATTCATGCGTCGCAGCCGCTCGTCCACCTCTGACTCGCTTGTGAGCATCGCGCCGGCGGGGGAGCGACGCGGCTGCTGCTGATCATCACGCGATAGTTGCTGCTGTTCATGGTGCGCGCCATCGTCGAACGCCGCCCCCGCAGCAGGGACGATCGTGCGCGCGCCGGCAGTGCTTCCACTCCCGCGCACCGTCCCCCCGCGACTCGTCCCGGGAGAGCTGCTACTGCTGCCGGGCGGCGCAGAAGAATCTCGACTCAGGCTCCGATCCTTCCTTTGTTGCTGCTCGAGCCGCGACCCGCCCCAACAGCGGTCGCGGCGCATCGATGTCCTTCACGAATGTCGAGATGTCGTCGTCCGGCTGTTGCTCGTCCGGCGTCGCCGCGCGCTTGAGCTGCGATAAAGAAAAAAACGGAGTTAGAATCCATCACATGAAGGGAAGAAGAAAGAACTCACAAAACTCCCGCTCCGACTCCTGGCCGCACCGCCCGCACTGCCCGTGCGCTCCCTCACCCCACCGCCCACACCACCCACACCAATGCTCCCACTCCCACTCCCGCTCTCCCCGCTGCCCCCACTGCCGACGCTGCTCCCTGCCGCGGCTCCATACCGGTGCGGGAAGCTGCTCGAGTAGCGCTTGCGCATCGGGATCGCGCCGGCGGTGCCACCCCCTGCGGCATCGCTCCCCGCGCTCGTCCCCGTTGGCGAGGGTGCCTGCGGCTGCGGCTGCGGGAACGCCACCCCGCCGCCAGGCAGCCCCGCAGCCCCACCCGCACCCGCACCGATGCCACCCGCCAACGGCGACCCGGGCCCCACAATCGGCGACCCCGCGCGCCCCGGGCTCCCCGATACGGACGAGACCCCGCGCAGCAGCGACGTACTCAGCGAGCTCCGCGAGAGCGTGTTGCTCTTGAACGGGTTGATCGCGACGGGCACGCTCACGCCCACCCCGGCCACTCCACTCCCAACGCCACTCCCCCCTGCAGCCCCGACGCTCCCCATGCCCATCCCACCCCCACTCCCACCCCCACTCGCCCCAGACCCCCCAGCGCCGCCATACGCATACCCGGCCCCAATCGGCACGCCCTTCTCCCTTTCCCTTTCCCTCTCCCGCTCGCTCGGCGGCCCCGCACGCGCATACGACGCCGACCCCTCCCTTTCTCTCTCCATCCCCCCCTGCAAGCTCGCGCCCTCCTCCCTCATCCCCCCAACAGACCCCCCACTCCTCGGCAGCACAAACCGGTCCACCACATCCGCGCCCCCGCCGCCCCCAAACCTACTATTCCCCCCGCCCGCATTCCCGCTCCCGCTGAACCCCGAGACGTGCACCCCCATGCGATACGACGGCGGCCCGCTCCCGCCGCCCGTCGAGTCCACCCGCGCGCGCATGCCCATCCCCACGCCCCCACCGGTGCCCCCCGACCCGCGCAGCGCCCCGAACGATGCGGGCGACCCCGACCCCGACCCCGAGCCGCCCGACGCCGCGATTGAGCGCCGCGCAAGTGTGGGCACGAACTCGTCCGCGTCGTCGTCCTGCGCTTGCTCGCTGTGCGCGGCGAGGCCGCGCGGGAGCGCGCTGGCGCGCGCGGAGGGGCTGGGCGGGGGCGAGGTGCTTGAGGGGACGCGGCTGTGTGTGAGTGCGTGTGTGCGAGAAGGCGGGGAGGTGCTCGAGGGCACGCGGGTGCGCGAGGAGAGGGACGACGGAGAGGACGAGAAAGAGGGGAGGGGGCGGCGCGCGGGAGCGGCGGCGGTATTGGTGAAGGTGGTGGTGTCGTGCGCGTCGAGGACGGCGAAGCGCGAGGAGAGGAGGGCCTCGAGCGACTCGAGGGTGAAACCGGGCGTGGTGAGGTAGGTTGTGGAGAGGGTGAGGATGCCTAGGACGTAGGAGTCAGCGATGGAACGGGCGGAAGGGAGAAGAGAGAGGGACAGGGGTGTGGGTGGATAGTGCGGGTCCGGAGGGAGGTAGAGGGGGAAAGGAATCGTGATGCGCGAAGAAGTGTAGTGGAGATGGGAATGGAAGGGAAGGAGGGAAGCAAGGTAAAGATCGACGTTGCGACAGGGGCAGAACCTCGATCGGCGGAGGCAGAATTGCAATGACGCATGGATAAGGGATAAGCGCTCTCACATGCATATGAGAGCGATAAGATAGGATGAAGACGATGAGGATGGGAGTATAACGGTGCAGGGCGGGAGAAAGGGAGGCGAGGATGAGGATGAAGGGGGGCAAAGACGCTTGTGTCGGAGAACCGAGTGGAGGTGGAGGGTAGAGGGAGAGCGCGATGCGAAGGAGACAAAACGGGAAGAGGAAAGGAGCGCGGTGAGCGTGAAAAGTAGTGAGGAGAGAAGGATAGTAAGAGTAATGGAAGAGACTGCTGAAGGGATTCAGGATGACGGAAATGGAGGGGGGAGGGGAGGGGGACGTAGGCAAAAAAAAAGGGGGGGGGGGGGGGGAGAAAAGAAAAGAATATGGGCAGGGAGGGATGAAATGGGCGCATACGAAAGAACGGGGGCGGAATAGGAAGGGGGGAAGAAGAGAAAACGAGAAACAGACTCACCAGCAGGATGCGCAATCCCCGGAAAAACATGCGTGCTCGTCGGCAATGGCGCCGCCCCCGTCTGCGGCGCAGGCGACTCCCCAAACTCCAGCGTCGTCTCTCCCCCGCCCCGCACCTCGCGGAACCCTCCTCCTCCTACCCTCCACCCTGGGCCGCCGTCGTCGTCAGGCCGCAGCCGCACAACGACGCGCATGCCCTTCCCCCCGCCGTTACCCGCCATCCCCATCCCCATCCCGACGCCCATGCCACCGCGCGCGCCGCGCCCCGCGAGCTTGCGCACGACGCGCCACGCGGGGAGGATGCGCAGCAGCGCAAACAGCGCGCGGAACAGCGGGATCGCGTTCTTGTAGATCGTGGGCGGGAGCACCTCGTCTCTGTCCCCGTTGTCTGTGCTGGACGTCGAAGATGCGGACGACGACGCAGAGGACGCAGACGATGACGGGGAGGTCACAAAGCGCAGGACCCACTCCTCAAGCAGCACCCAGCGCGGCTCGGGCTCGACGCGCGTGCGGGATGCGGCGTGCACGAGAGCGAGGCCGCCGCCCGCTGGTGGGACAGCGAGGAGGATTTGGAGCGTGAGGGGCTTTGCTGCGTCATTTGTGGGCGTCGGATCCCTATCACCCGGCGCTAATGGTGGAGGCGGCGGAGGAGCGGAGGACAGCGCGCGATAAGCGTCCAGCTCCGCGGGCGGGGCTGGCGCAAGTGGCGTTTCGAGGTTAAACTGCGTGGGATATAGGTGAATAAAATAGAAAAAAATCGGGAGGAGATAAAGATTAAGACGACTCACCCACTTGTCCACCCTCGCGGTCGCAGGGTTTGAAGAGAAGGCATCTGTTGCGCGGGCGGCGTAGAGGACATGGAAGAGCTTGGTGTAGATGTGGAACGCGATCTGGTCCGACTTTGCGCTGTCCCCAGCCGCCATCCCGACGCTTCCGTGTCCCGAGGCCGAGGCTAAAATATTCGTAGGGTGATTTTCTGAGGTCCCAAGCTTTATCCCAGGCAAATTTTGGGGCCAATAACGCAGATCAGATCCCCCGGGTTCTACTGCACGAGGAAAGACCGGGAAAGGGCTGGTGGCCTCGATACCAGAGAGTCGCAGCAGCAGACGACCCAAAAGAAGTCCTCAAGTTCCGGACCCCGGGAATCCCAGCGGCAAGAGTATATGAAGCCTCCAGAGAGCAGTGTACCACGGTGAGTGGCAGCAGGAAGCAAGCAGGTCAACGCAGCAAGCGCATTGAAGTCGCGCAGCTTGGGGAGACGAAATGGAGTTGGTAGCCACGTGATGTGATGTGATCCAATGATGATCGGAGGTCTGGGCCGGTCGGTCGCCTTGGCCGATGGCAAAATTAATGCAATTATGTATATGAGAGAAGGGACACGAATCTTGAGTAAGCTATACGGGATGGGTGAAGCAACATAGCAGCTTGTATAATCGAAAGAAAAAAATCAGGAACACAACGCACAATGCCCTCGAGAGGAGTCGAACCTCTGTCTCCCACTGACACCATTCGCGATGAGTTATGGGTGGTGAGTGATTTACCATTCACCAACAAGGGCCCTATATCTTTTCAATTACCCTTGCCATGGTGCCTTCGAAACTCGATTTTAGGCAATCTGCTCAAAGAAACATCCGGCCCGACTCGGATTCACGCTGCGACTCAGGATGCGCGTGAACGAGTAGACATTAATCAATTATTTTAACATGGCCTCTATGTCTTCATCTGAACATGCCTATTGGCGTTCTAAAACCGTGGCACCAAAAAAAAGCGGCTTACGAACGGACCCATGCCCCCGGGAGGATTCGAACCACTGTACCGTTTAGTGGCGGGCTTCCAAAGTCGGTGGGTGATTTCCCATTAATCAACAAGGGCTTATATACAGCAGTTTGAACCAGGATATGGTCCCTTCAATAATCAATTCATGAGACAAGACATCGAAGAGCGTGGCAGGACCTCAGATTCGAATGGTTGATAGCGGGTGGGTCATTTACCATTAAATCAACAAGGGCTAAAGATTCCAATTGGGACCGAGTATGACTACCATTAGACGACAATAATACAGGGGTCGGATGAAAAATCTACGAAGGCTCGCTCACTTCTAGGAATACAGCGACCACGCAAGCAGCTCATTCAAACGAAGTTCATTCCCCTTTGACGCGGATAAGCGCAGTTGTTACATGCGCTTCATAAGCCGCCTGTTTACCAGGATGAATGAGAATAGCAACAAAAAGACATCGTTCTACGCCCTAATACCCTCGGGAGGATTCGAACCTCTGTCTCCCATTGAATATTCAAGACATTCGGATTTCGGAACAGTACAGTCAGTGGGTGATTTACCATTAATCAACGAGAGCTTATATGCGCCAATTCAAAGTACGAAATGGCTCCTTCAAAAATTGATTTCATGCAAAAAAAAAAAAAAAGGTAGTCGTACTGCCCTCCATGCCCTCGGGATGATTCGAACCTCCGTCTCCCACTGAGAATCTTGTGACTCTTCACAAAGTCGGTGGGTGACTTGCCATTAATCAACGAGGGCTTATATACAGTAAATCAAACCAGGATATACCCAGCTCGAAAATTGATTTTAGGTGGCGCGACAAAAAAAAGAGTCGTACAACTCTCCTATGCCCTTGGGAGGATTCGAACCTCCGTCTCCCACTATAAGTTTCTATGCTTTGGGTGAGAGACTTGCGGACCATTTAAGCCAGTAATCAATAAGGGCTTGTATGCAGCTATTCGAACCCGGATATGGCTCCTTCCAAAATGGATTTTAGGTGTTACGAAAAAGAAAATATAGATGCCCTCCAAATGCCCTCAGGAGGATTCGAACCTGCGTCTCTCACGGACCTACTTCTGTACTCCACTAGTGTAGTGGGTGATTTCCTATTAATGGACGAGCGCTTATACACAGCAACTCAAACTACGACGGTGCCTTCAAAAATTGCTTCTCCCACTGATGTGTTTGCGGTCCTTGCAAAGTCGGTGGGGATAATCCAGTATTTCTAACCAGGATATGGCTCCTTCAAAAATCGTTCTTCCGCCATGCTACGAGAAAAAGAAAACACAGCAGGAGATCATATCACGCCCTCAGGAAGATATAATAATGGCTTCTCAGAAAATCGATTTCAGGCACTATGAAAAAGAAAACATAGAAGCAAATAGCATCATGCCCTCGGCAGGATTCGAACCTCCGTCTCCCACTGAGCCTCATGTGGTACAGCAATCACGCAAAGTCGGTGGGTGATTTCCCATTAATCAACGAGGGTTTTACACCCATTCACTGAACCTTGACATGGCGCCAAAACTGGAACAAGAAATATTACAACCTGGTTCCCCCTATTTTTTTTCGGCCAACGATAAATGTTGGTGGAAAATTGACGAGGCCCATGGCCACAGCTTTAGTCAACCGTAAACCTCCTTCAAAGGTCTATCCACGAATATGCAACAAAGATATGCCGGCGCCGATCCCATCCTCGTCTCCCACCGACCCGTGTATTATCATATCGATTTATCGAATCAGCGTGGACTAAGTACTTACCTCACCGCGAACATTGATTCTTTGAAATCCAAAGCAGAAATTGTGCCTATTTAGTTCAGCTCCATCCCCTCGGGAGGATTTGAACCTCCTTCAAGTTCCCCGACTTAGACTCTGTTCTTGCTGCTCAGACTCTATGTAGGTGATTTTACCCTTCTATATACAGCAGATGTGCTGTCCTGCAATTCTCGATTCCCCTTGTGCACCAGCCATGCGTAGGACTCAAAACTCCGTCTTCCGCGCCTCAGTCCAGCTATAATCAAAATGAGATTCATTATGAGGCGCAACAAAATAAATTCAACAGACGTTTCATACGTGGGAGAATTCGAACCTCCATCTCCCACCAGTACAAATAGTGTCCCAGTATTAAAATTGATTGGGGAGTGATTTCCCGTCAATCCACGAGGGCATTTGACCGCAGAAAATATGCCCCACTCCTACCAACATCCCAACTTGAAGTCCATATATTTATTATTGGAACGCGGGGGCTTTTTTTCTTAGTTTCAACGTGCAGTTCATTCACCAACCAGATAAAGTGCAAATAAATTGATTCAAATAAAACAGAACGTTGGAACTGAACGCTGGGAATTCAACTTGAACACAACTTTTTCTTCGAATCTAACGATCCTCGGCGGCCTCTACTCACAACACGTACAATCACTTGCGTGACCTAAAGTCGTGACCGTGCCTTTTTCTTCACCGCGTCCTCTGGCTGAGCTACTGCTGCCCCTCGCTTCTTTAACGGGTAAGAATCCACGCCGCTATGAACTCTTTAGACTGAGTATTGAAGCCTTCAACAATTTTATAGACCTGCCCGCCTCACAAGTGACACGCTTCGCCGATGGTCCATTCCGAGGACACTGCGAACAGATCCGAGTCTTCGCGCTCGCATATCCGCTCCCGTATTTTTGAACTGGATGCTCACATATTAGCTCTTGAAGAATCACTCGTTACCACGCGCTACGAACGGGAGAACTTGCAGTCGCAACTGGACAACTACACATACCCCATCCTCACCCTCCCCGTCGAAATAACTTCGGAAATATTCTTCCACGTCCTTCCCGTATACCCATTGCGTCCTCCGCTCACTGGACTACTGTCGCCAGCACTCTTGGGACAAATTTGCCGTCGATGGCGCGACATCGCGTTCAGTACTCCTCGACTGTGGAGGGCCATCCAGTTAAACATTGAGTGGAAGTGCCATCTCGACATGCAGCTCGATGCGCTCGCCACTTGGCTTTCCCGCTCCAAGGATTGCACCCTGTCTATATCCTTGGAGTACAAGTTGGAGTCAGAGCTGTGTTCCTCCAAGCTACCTGATATCACGGAAGCCCTTATCTCGAACGCGGCACGCTGGGAATATGTTCACCTCATCATTCCTTTCCTTGATCTTCACTGGATTCGGGGTCCCTTTCCTCTTCTCCGTGCCCTGTCCATTGGCAAAAGTAATTACGACGATGGGCGGGAAATTTCACTGGCGAGCCCGTTCCACGACGCACCGCAATTGCAGAAAGTTGTTCTCTGCGTGCTGTTTGACCCGTCTTGAGCGTATCTTCCGTGGTGGCAGTTTACGAGCATCTCCGCTGATAAATGCGAGCCAAGCGTGTTGGGCAATATTCTATCCCATGCTGTTTCCCTCATCGATTTCGATGGCACCTTGTGGGACGATGACGACGGTGTCCCACCAGTTGCACCACTAGCATATCTCCAATCGTTGATTCTACACGACGAATGCAAAACTAAACGTGGAGCCCAAAAGCTGCTACTCGATGCGCTTACCACTCCGGCCCTTCGACATCTCACGGTTTCAGAGCGCGAGCTCGGCCCTGATTATCTGTCGACGATTACCTCTGCGCTGTCTAGATCCAAGTGTTCCTTGGTATCTCTGCACGTAACCCATGCCAGACTGTCCCATGCAGAATACCGTGCAGCATTTCCCTCGATTGAAAGTATTTCAATTGGGAACGAGTGGGATGATGAAGATGAGGACGGTGTGGGCGGCGATGACGACGACGAATAATTCCGAGCCATAATGCCTTCGTCAGTCCGTTGCACAATTCAACCATCCCTGCCTTTCTTGATTAATCTCGCAGAGCTCATCGGCGGCGTCGATTCTTACCCTCCCGGATGTATCTAGCTTCTTTTATCTCTGCTTGAAGCCGACAGCGATTCAATTTTCGTGCGTCGTGGTTCATACGTCCTCCGCGAACAATATTAGTTCACCACAAAGGATCCCCTAATCCCCCTCTCCCTCCTCTTTCACCAATTTATCACGAAACCGGCTTGAAATATACTGACGCCATAACCACCAGCTCCCAGGATAATAACCGCAATAAACAATGTCCCGACTTGCAAACCTAAAACTCAGCAGCTTAAAGCTCCGACGATCAACACAGCCCCGTCGGAGTTTCAGACCATTTTCGACTCCCGCGCTCATGCAATGGCCTCTCTACCTCAGGAACTCGTCAATTCCGTTGTGAACCAACTAGATGATTATTCATCATTGACCTCCTGCGCTCTCGTTTCAACCTCCTTTGTAGCCCCCGCCCAGAAAGCGACCTTCAAATCGCTGTGCACACACACAGAATTGTCTCACGGACATCCCACCATCCTGGCCGCGAGTGATTCCCTCGCTGCTTTCCCGCACCTGGCTACCTATATCCGCCTCCTGAAAATAGATCTTTCGCACCTGGAGCACGAGGTACAGGCACTGGAGTCCATTCTTCTCGTAGTCCGCGCTCTTGAGCGCCTGATTATTTGTGGCCGGAGAAAGCGGTGGGATTCCATCGCACCTACGCTGAAAATTGCAATCGAGAATAAGTATCATCACGCTATGGGCTACATCTAGTCTCTATATCTCATCTTCCATTTAATTTCATTCACCGCGCGGTATCTGCGGTCTCCGTCCTCTCCGCTTTCACTGTTAGCCTAGAGGAGCGCGAGCCGGTAGAGCCAGCCCCGGGCCTTGCCTTCGATGTTCGTCTCACACATCTGGCCTTATCGGACTCTGGATGGGGGACAAAGGCCCTCTGCAACCTCCTTGTTTCTTCCGCACCATCCCGCACTGCTCGTCTGGAACGACTGAGCATTGTCGTCGACCAGGCGAGCCGCAGATATGACTCTGAGCCGCTCTCTACCATTGCCCCAAGTCTCCGTCATCTCTCACTCGGTATCGGTAGTACAATATTTATAGCTGATATCCCAGCACCGCTATTTACCTACCTTTGTTTAAGGGCTTTGGCAACCAGTCGACCTCCCGCACCTGCCCCTTGTGCATACCGACTCGGAGATTGTTGACGACGAGCACCCCATTTAGGCGGCGGCGCAGCGCAAGGGCGGAGGAAGTAGCCGAAAGCGTTATTCGACCATCATTTATATCTGTATGGGGGGTAGCTATCCCCCAACCAGATTTTAAGTCTATTCGAGAGTCGACAGGATACTCCGCGAGATCCAAGGCCGATGGGATCCTGACAGCTGTCTCCGGATGTCCGAAAACAGCCTCAAAAGAATCTGTAGGAATGTATTGATCTTACAGGAAGTCACCCAATAATATGGTTAGTTTCGTTTTCAGGTTCAGCTGGGCTGAGGACTGAATATCCGAGATTAAACAAGACATGCCTTCGCTCCGCTCCGGCACTGGGAATATATATCAAAAATAGCATTTGATTGGCGATGTGCATAGACTTAGCGAAAAGAGAACAAAGGAAAGGGTGCAAATCATAGCTGAAGAGACTTTAATGATGGGAACGGGAGTCTGGATCGAAATACGAGAATATAGACCGGAGCTAACTGCAGTCTTGGGTCGGATATAAGAAGAAA